TGACCTGGTCATAGAAGGCTACAAGGTTTGTCAGGCAGGATCCACCTGTGACAAACCTGTGCTGGTTTCCCCTCAGCATCGCTTCCCCTGCTGGGCCTGCACAAATGTGTTCTTTGATTATTTTCTCTAGCGTTTCCCAGGAATAGAGGTAAGCCTGACTGGTCTAAAGTTACCCGGCTCATCCCTTCTCCCTTTCTTGAAAATGGGCATCACATTGTCCCTTCTCCAGTCCTCAGGGACCTGGCCGGGGCACCACGAGTGCTCGAACAGCTGTGCCCTCAGTGGCTCAGCTATTACACTGGCCAATTCTTTCAGCAGCCATGGATGGAGGTTATCCGGGCCTGCTGACTTGTACCCATCCAGCTCCTCCAGGAGCTCCTTAACTATTTCAGAACTAACCGTAGGCGGACTGGTGCCACGTGGACATCTGTCAGTGATCAAGGTGGGGGAAATTAGCTTGGTCGGTACATAGAAATACTGAAGCAAAGAACTCATTGAAGAGCTCTGCTTTTTTCCTCCGCATCAACCACCAGCTGCCCTGATTTGTCCTGCAGGGGCCCTATGCCTTCCACAACCCTAATCATTTTTGTTGCTCTGCACTGGGTTCTTTCCAAACTGTCCACTTCCTTCTTGAAGTACGGGGCCCAAAATGGGACACGGTACTCCAGGTGAGATCTCACCAGTGCTGAATAGAGCAGAACAATCACTTCCCTTAATTTGCAAATGACTCTCCTGTTAATATAATCCAGTATGGTGCTTGCTTTTTTTGCAACAAGAGCACACTGTTGACTCATATGCATCTTGTGGTGTACCATAACCCCCAGATCCCTCTCGTCCACTCATTCCCCAGTCTGTATTTGTGCATATAAGTATTCCATCCCAAGTTCAGGACTTTCCACGTGTCCTTGTTGAATCTCATCTGATTGATTGTGGGCCATTTTTTCAGTCTACTCAAGTCATTCTGGATCCTAGCCCTATTCTCCCAAGTATCTGCTACTCCACCCAACATGGTGTCATCTGTAAATTTGCTAAGTATGCACTTGATACCATTGTATGTGTCATTAATGAAAATATTAAAGAATACCAGGCCAGGCTCCTGGAGAACCTCACCTGATACCTCTTCCCAACTAGACATTGAGCCAACGATGACTACTCATTGATTATGATAATCTAACAAATTGTGTGCCTGATGCAGGTTTTTTGTCTCATCTGTATTTCCTTAGCTTATTAATAGAAATGTCATGGAACACAGTAACAAAAGCCTCACTAAAGCCTTGCTTTCCCCCCTCCTCTCCCCCAAATCTACAGAGCCTGTCACCATATCATAGAAGAAAATAGAAAATCAGGTTGGTCAGGCATGACTTGGTCTTGGTGAATCCATGCTGGCTCCTCTTGACCACATTTTTTTCCTGTAGGTGCTTCATGATGGATTCCTTGAGGATGTGCTCTGTTATCTTTCCAGGTATCAAGGTCAGGGTGACTGGTCTGTAGTTTCCCAGATCCTCTTTTCTTCAAGATGGGCACTGTGTTTTCCCTTTTCCAGTCATCTGGGACTTTACCCAGCTTTCATGAGTTCTTCAGACAGTTCCTTCAGTACCCTGGGTTGCATCCCATCTGGCCTGTCAGTTTGAAGG